AAATGTTATTTCAGCCAGGCTGTGCGCTAATGGTGTAGTGGTAACATGTCAGGTTCCCATTCTGACGCCCCGGGTTCGATTCCCGGTTGGCGCAGCTTTTTGACGAGGTTGATGGGTTGCGTTTTTTTGATGAAAGGGCAGTGCCCAAAGGCAATATGAAATAAGAATGAGTTGCACCACCATTGGTATGAGAGCTAGGAACTGGTATTGACAAGGTATCGCCACGAGGTATGACATTGTTGGGCTTTTTTTCAATCTCAAATGTTTCATCAGGTTTCAGGGGGATGTATCGGCTCATTTTTTGTTGGGATGTTGAATGACTGTGCGAGCCCGTCAAGGCCTGGCGTGAGGCGGCTCATGGGGCATTTCGTTAAAAACTCGGTTAGACGATCTCACGAACCGTACGTGAGATCGTCTAACCGAGTTTTCAACGAATACATGTATCAACGACTATTTTTGAAGCAGCTTTTGCATCCCACGTAAACCTAACCGTACGTTTTTTCGTTCCCATGTGGTCACCCCAGAAGGCCACGAAAGATGGAGGACATTTCCCAATTGGCTCGATACAAGACATGCTTTTGGACGGTATCATTGTCCGCGATGGGCCCGCGCCGCTCGCCAAGCTTCATGGCGCACCGTACTTTTTCCTGACGATGGTCGTCATGCAATATGCCCACTTTGTGCTGCTTCCGCACTACGGCGTCGCTGGCTTTAGCATGTACATGCTCATCGCTATTCCCATGTTGACGCTTGATGGCCTCGTCTCCAACAGTTTTGGCAAGAACGTTGTGAATCTCCGCGCCCACGGCTTCTCTGACGCCACGACGGTGGCGACAATGCTGTTCAACACGGTGGTGTCTCAGTTCTTGACGTTCGTCGTCGTGTACTACATGGGCACGCCTGACGCGCTTGCTGGTCTTCTGCACCCTTCGTCCTACTCGCCTTGGATTGCCGCTGCGATCGCCATCAACCTTGCGCTCACCGAGGCGCTCTTCTTCGCGGCCCACAAGCTCCTCCACGAAGTGTGGCCGCACGTGCACGTGATGCACCACTGCTGCCTGCACTCGTCGCACTCAACCAACGCCATTTTCCACCCGCTGGATTTAGCATTCGAGTTTGGCGGCCCCGGCACCGTCGTTTTCGCGATGCACTTTTTCGTTTGGGAGCAGAATCGCACGGTGCTTCTCGCAACGTACCTCATTGTCCAAACGTACTATGCGATCGACCACAGCGAGTGGCTCCAGACGTACCACTACAAGCACCACGCACAGATCAACGCGGTGTACACGATTTACGTCAACCATCGGTCGTCCCCGCAGCTTGATCAAGTGCGCAGCCTCGTCAACAAGCCGCTTAAGAGCATAAACTGACCTCCGTTGAAGTTGACGCGTACGACGTACTAGTCGTTGAACATCTTTCTGATCTGTAGTCAACGGCGTCCAAGTCTACCACAAACGCGTCTGGTACCGGTAGTCGGGATGAAATTGGTTGCTTGTACGACCTTTAGCCATCAATTCAAATAATTGCACCCTGTCGGGGCGCTGAAGAACTTGTTTTGCGTTATCTTCGTGTAACAACGACTCGGGATACTCACGTTAGAATGTTTTGTCTTTGCCACTGGCGACGGCACGGGACATCGCTTGAGCACTCGCTTGCTCATCGGTAGCTACCTTGGGGCTAGCGGCCATCATGATCACAGTAAAAAATACACATGCTTGGTACAAAAAATAAGTTTCAAATGCGCTGTCCGG